GTTCTACAAAACTCAACTGTAGGGTTGACACAATGTTTTGTAACAATAAAAAGCTACACTGGTAGGTTGTACTAAATTATGCAGTTACACTTACCTAGCATTATTGTAATGATTAAAGACCGAATTGTAATAAACACCTAACTACATTTGGTTGAATTTACAATTTAATGTGTGTAGCGACCAAACTATTAGGGATCTGCAACAAAGCATATTAATGTATCTACAAAAACAAATGGTTGTGGTAAAAATCAGTTTGGTAATCAGTACATTTTTATTATCTATCTATAACTTAAATATACTGTAACTGCTACAAAACTCAGTTTACCCAATGGAACTTGTAATTTTAACCAAACACATTGTTGTCATGGGTGCAACCGAAAATTCTGGTAATAGCAATCATATTTTGGTAATGATTACCATTTTTTTTTTTCAGTGTTGAGTCTATTTGTTAGGGGCGCTATGGTGTCCGCGTAGTTGTCGACAAACTGGCTGTACCAGTTGCAGACGCCCAGGAATTTCCGTAGGTCCCTCAGCTTTGTTGGTGGGGGGTAGTTAATGATGCCCTCTAGTTTCTCCGGTTGTTTGTCTATACCGTCGGAGGTGACTAGGTGTCCAAGAAATGAGATTTCGGTCGCTCCGAATCTGCATTTCTCGGGGTTGCATGTCAGCCCGTGTCTCTGTAGACGTTCTAAAACTTTGTCTAAGTGGCACTGGTGTTCATCCGTAGTGTTCGAAAACACCACTATATCGTCTAGATATACGCGGACGAACTCGTCCAGGTACCCCCTCAAGACTTCGTCCATTAGTCGCACAAAGGTCATGGGGCTGTTTTTGAGGCCGAAGGGGAGGACTCGGAATTGGTATAGGCCCCGACGCGTCCGGAATGCCGTGTATTTTCGCGCGTCCTGTTTAAGTGGTACTTGCCAGTACCCTGACTTAAGGTCAAGGACGCTGAACACTTTTGCCCCTCTCATCTGACGTATCAGCGTGTTGAGGTCGGGCATTGGGTAAGCGTCGGACTCAGTGATGTCATTGAGCCGCCTATAATCAATGCACAGTCGGGGTGAGCCGTCTTTCTTTTTTGCTAAGACGATGGGTGCGGCCCACGGGGATGTGCTTTGTTCTACCAGTCCCTGCTCCTCCATGTCCCGTATCATGGTATCGATTATGGCCTGTTTTACCGGTGGATAGGGATATGGTTTGAGGGCTATGGGTGTGTGGTTTTTGAGGAGGATGTCGTGTTCTATTAACCTGGTGCGGCCTACCCTACCGTTGAATACGTCCGGATAGTTACGTACTACTTCGGCGAGTTTCGCGCGTGTGTGGTGGTCACCGTTTATTGTTAATTTGTCGACATCTAGTGCTGGGCTGGGGGTGGGTATCCGACCTTTCCAGCACGCTGTTGTTCTCCTATTCGAACCTAAATGAATGGTGCTCGTTGTGTAGTCCCAGGTGACCTCGTTTTGTACGAGAAAGTCATGACCTAGGAGCATGTCGCAGTATAAATTGTCCAGAATGGCTGCGTTGAAGGTGACCGTGAGGTCTCCGATTCTGGCTACGAATGTGGAGGTACCACTTGTCAATGTGGTGTGACCATCCGCCATTCGTACCTGGGTTTGTTGTCCGTGGTGGGGGGTGCCAAATTTTTGTGCGGTGTTCGGGCTTACATACGATTTTTGTGCTTGGGAGTCGAGTAGAGCTGTTACGGGGCCTGACCTAAATTCGAGTTCGACCGCGGGGGTCGGAATTTTGTCGGGGCATACTCGTTTAGCGTTATTCGACGTTGGTGGTGATGTATAGCTGGATAACTGGTTCTTAACCGCGATATCGGTGTTCTGGGGAGCGGTTTGTACCGCCATTACCAGAGCATCCGTTTCGGTTACCTCTGTGCTATGTGTGTGTACTGTATGTGTACCTGTTAATTTCGTAGTAGGGGTCGTTGATGCGGACCTTTGGGGTGCCGCGTGGTGTGGTGATGGTGACCTGCTACTTAACGAAATTGTTGATGTTTGGACGGGTGATATATGTGAGGACGCCGAGTTTATCGATGCGCGTTTGATGGTTATATCCCCGTCTGTAATGCCGAACGTGGTGTGTGGTGGCGTGGTGGTGTGTGTGTGTGTGGTGGAGGCGGCGGCGTGGACAGGTGTCCGCCGACTCATTTCCCGTTTCCCGAACGCGGTGTGTTCCCGGGGCAGTCACTGTTCCAGTGAGGACCTCCACAGTATTTGCACGGGTTGGGCGGTTGCGGCTTGCCTGCGGTACCGTCCCGTGGTCGCGGTTGGTGCGTTGGTTGAGGTGGGCGGGTCTGGGAAAATTTTTTTTGCGCCGGTTTCGGCTGTGGTTGTGTCGCTGGGTCGTCAGGTGTGTACTCCAGGACTCCAGCGATCCGGCGGAGGTCTCCGAAAGTCGCTGGTCTTTGCAATCTTATGTGCGTGCGGTATTCGTTGCGCGTTAGTCCGGCTATCGTACCTACTAGCTGTGTTTCAGATAGTCCGGTATTGATGCGGCGTGCAAGTTGATTTTTTTGTGTTACGAACTCCGTTAGCGATTGCGTTGTTGCTTGTCGGGTGGATACTATCTCGGCCCGCAGCCGTGACTGGATTTCCGCGCTGTCAAATTTTTCTAAAAATTCGGCGCGGAACTCGTCCCAGGTGAGGTCCAGTAGTCTGATGGTGTTCCACCAGGTACTGGCAGCACCCTTCAGCTGCTGCGCGACAACGTTTGTCCAGGCCGACCTATCTATGCGCGTTTGGTACATTATCGATTCCGCTTTGTGTATAAATCTTTCCGGGTCCTCGGGTGTTGTCCCGTGGAACTCCGGCAGCGAATGTTTCGCTGCACATACGTCGTCGTATGGTATCAGCGTCGATTGTTGTAACGCATAGGTGTGAGTGGATGAGGGGGCATGGTGTAAATTTTGCGTGTCATCGAATCGTACCGAACGGTCGACGTGTTGGTTACCCGCGGACGGTGGTTCGCGTGCCGCGGTGTACCTCGTACCGTATTCCGTGTTATTCGATAACACTGTATGGTGGGAGCGGGTCGGTTTTGTACTCTCCGGTTGTTGTTCCGGTGCTTGGCGAGCCATACCCATTTCTAGGCGTCGCATTGTTTCTGCAATGCGACGTTGGTCATCGCCAAAGCGGGCCATGCAGTCTTCGAGCATGGTCAGTCGAGACTCCAGACTGTGGCCATGCACCGAATTCTCCGCCGAGTGCCGTACCTCGTTGATAATGGAACGACCCGTTTGGATCATGTCCATCGCTTGTTGGTGTGTGGGTGTGGTTGATGGTTGGGGTGGTGTGTTGTTGGTGGTGATCTGGGGTGGGGCGTGTGATGTCTCGATCTGTATTTGCGCGGTGGGACTGGCGTCGGTTACCAGACCTGTGGCCGAGCTATGTCCGGTCTGCCCAGTGGGTTCCATAGGCGGGAACTGGATTTCGTTGGCCTGCAGGTTCATGTCCGCGAAATGTTGTGTTAATCGAATTTCGAGATCACCCTTCGCGCCCGTAACCGATAAACCGCGCTGTCCACATTCGTAGCGCAATTCCGCGGCGGTCAATTCATTAATATATTTTCCCGGCATGACTTCCGGTTGGTTTTCCGGTGTTGTTGACGAGAAATTATAAAATGTGGCTGTTGTCGTTGGAACGGGTATCGCGTTCCTTCGATCAGCTGTGTTGTCCACTTATCGGTGTTTATTTGCGTATGGAATGTAGGTCAGTGGGTTGTTATTGTTATTGTTGCGCTTGCCGGGCGATCACAGTAACCGGTCTTCGCAGAGTGTTTTCGCGGATGCGCGTGTGTGCGTTATCCGGTGCACTACTGCGATTAGGGCTGGCGGCGGCTGTCCGATTACGTGGTATTTTTGTCCCGGGTAATCGCGTGTTGACGTAGGCGGGTGGTGGTGCTAGGCGGTGGTGGTGTGACCCTCTCGCGCTCTTGCGTTCCTACCTGCCTACCTGCGTCGTGTGTGTTTGGTGCGTCGCGCGCGGTGCGGTCGGTGCGTCCGTGAGTCGGGCGGCGCGGCCGGTCGTTACGTCCTTTATGGTTATATAATATATTACGTAACGCCGGTTTTTCCGTTACCGCCTGCAAACCACGTTTTTGCCGGATCGCGTTGGTGACTTTTTTCCAAAACGCGCAACGGGGGTTTATTTGGGGGTGGTAGTATGTGGTAAGAAAGTTTTCACTTACCGGTGATTCCTGTTCGGGGAGCCAGTTGACGCAGCCTTGTGTGATGCCGCGTGGACGGTGTGGTGATGGTGACCAAAACTCAGGTCGGAACAACGAACGTAATAAAAAAAAAGAAACAAATGCAAAACAACGAACGGTGCACTGATGTGGTTATGACCTTTATTGTTATCGAAGACAAGAGTCAAAAAGGAACATTCAAGTTAATAACACAATTTTTGTTGATGTATCGATTTTACGGGATCGTGTACGGACGGCGGCGGTCTGTGTCGATCGGTGTCGTGAAGGCAAGAGAGCGCGCCTTGGCAAATCCGGTTCGCTGGACGGCCGGCCGACGGTTCCAGGCGCGCGTGTCGCGCGCCGGCGTCGTCCGTCGTCGGTTGGCGGTTTGATTGAGAAGCCGCGGCGCGGCTTCCGCGCAAAGGCTGTTTGAATTCAAACAGATTTTGCGCGGGACCGCGTCACAATATCCATTAGGTACTTATGTAAAGTTTTATTCCCGGCGCTTATGAAAACTATTGGGAATATTAAATTTTGACCTTAACAATGCATCAACGATATTCACTTTCCAATCGAACAAGATACTGAAGCTGAAAATCGAAGCATTATTTCGACTACTTATCGTGCACACAGACACAAAAAAAAAAAAAAACACATCATTGTAAAATCAATACATTCGTCGTTCCACTCAGAATCTAAAAAAAAACTGAAACAACACATTCGGGTGTGGGGTCATCTCAAAATATTGAAATTTCATGAAAATAGGGTGAAGACCTTCTCTGACGACTGACAGGGATTTCTTACTAAATATTATCTCTTTGAAATTTAATTAAATAATAAATATACTTACGCTGGCGTCTGTTGGAGGGCGCTATATCCTGCAACGTTTCACCGCCGTTTACAATGCCACGACCGCGGCCGCCACGACCACCACGACCGCGGCCGCCACGACCACCACGACCACCACGACCGCGTCCGCCACCACGACCGCGTCCGCCACCACCGCGTCCGCCACCACCGCGTCCGCCACGACCGCGGCCACCACCGCCGTCGTTCCAGCCGCCACCACCGCCGCCGTTCCAGCCGCCACCACCGCCGCCGTTCCAGCCGCCACCACCACCAGTTGAGAAGTAAACATTGATCGACATCTATATTATAGGGACATTCAATTAATATAGGTATAAAGTTCAAATGAGATTTTAAGATTATATGGCATGTTGTATAAAAATATAATTCGGCAATAAATGGCCACTCTCATTCACCATTCATAAATGGTACAGAATTGTCATTGATATGTTGTTTTATAAAATTAATATATTAGGGCTGCACTACAATAATAAATAATAATGACTATTCTGTACAGTGTACATTGTGCTAAAATAAAAGGACACAAATATGAAAATATGTTTAAAATAAATCAAATATAAATAAAAATGCAGCAAGACGTGTCCGTAATCCGTTTATAGTTTATACTATAGAATAAATAAATACAACCACTGAACCACGGTTATTTATAGTTTATCCAACAATAATTAATTAAGGAAAGGGATAATGATATGTTACATTTTTCAATATTATAATAATTAAAATATGGATTAAGTGAATGTTACTTATGAAATTTATTATGTTACTCTATCTTTTTATTTGTGTTAATTTTAAATTAGGTTTATTTGTGTGTAATTTTGTTTATTATATTATGTAATGTAACTCTCTACCACCATCACAAGCATTACGCTTAAAGGAGGTAGATACTTTATTGTGAACATTTTAATAATATGTAAATCATTTTATTTATATTTTTACAATAAAATTTATATAAAAAAAAAAAATACTAAAAAGTAAAAGGTAAATACGTAAATGTGAAAATGTACTTACGTCGGTAGTTGGATAGTAGTCGGTCCGTACTATGAGACCGGAGAAAAGTTAGTGATGGTCGATGGACGATTGTCGCTAGTCGCCACCAAGAGTCTTAGCCGTTGCTATCCCACACACCCCCACCAATCACATACATCATGAAGATAGTTTTGAAAAAAACCAGATAACCGGTGCGCGGCGCGTTTTTTCACAACAATTGTCTTGTCGGTCTCCTTACTGTGTGGTTTTACCCGCTCCGTTTAATCCCGGCTTTATGTGCACAGAAACGAATGTAAACATAAATTCCATTATAAAGCTGGTTGCGTGTTTTGACTTGTCTTAGTTTTTACACTGTACAAATGTGCACAGCGATTGTGTTAGGATAACCGCCCGGCTGTTTGGCCTTCGAAATTGATTTATTTCGAAATGCAAATACAGTGCCGGCGCTAGGGGAAGACAAATGGGACATATGTCGAGGGACCCGCGATTTTTAATTCGTATTTAATTTATTTTTAATTTGTATTTCACTATGGGGCCGATTAAAAAACTGATCCATGGGCCTTTGGTGTGCCAGGCCGACACTGGTAATCAGTAGGACTCTTAGTAAGTAAGCCACAAGTTTTTTGTGATATTTGACATATAGTCGATTTTCTAGTTGATTGCGCATGTTATTTCATAAAAATATTCGCTTATTACGACCTTTAAGGGAACCAAGAAAATAAGATCGTTATATCCGAATGACTAAACATACTAAACGTGAGATTTAAAACCAATCAAGTACATAGCTGGGAATCGTTGTACACGGGACATCGACGTATCGTTATATACTTATATAATTTATAAAGCATCGTAATTCGTAACAGAATAATACAATGTTCGTAATAAACGTCTTGTACTATATTTAGATTTTATGCGTTTCAAATAGTACATGGTAGCACCACGGAAACAATGTCATCACTTACCGCTACCACTACCCCATCCCCCGCCACGCCGTACGAAATCCGTCGTCGAGACGAAACATGTACAACAGGCATGTACAATAATTCGTATATATGTAAATAAACACTTCACTTGGTTGACGTTGTGCCGTTTTGTGCCCAATAATACCCGGAGCGGCTCGTCACAGGAGAGTCCGATACCGCTAGATAAATTATAATTATCTAAAAATAAAAATGTATATAAGAAATTGAAAATATATTATATTGTAACATCGTGTTATCGTATATTATATCGTCGGTATGTCGATGTCAATATTATTTTAATAATTCGGTCGACGGATTTAGTGAAACTGCCGCCCGATAGTAATTTCAATCATAATGTTATCGGTGAGTGGCCGGGGAGAAAAATCCGCGTAATATACGCGCCATTGAAAGTGGATTCACGACATAATATAACAGTGGCGTACACAGCTATTTTCAATGGGGGGGGGCTTACATATAAAAAAAATTATATACATATATATATAATACATTGATGAATCAAAACGATGTACCTATAGTAATTATTTTGTAATTAATGAGTAATCGGCTCATTAGCAATGACTTAAGGTGAAATTAAAAATATTTTTACAATTCTCGATTATTATTTAAAAAATATATACCTATTACCTACAGGTAATTATTTAGTATAACTACAAAGTTACACGCGTACATACAATATGTATATAATAATATATTATATACAATTCAATAAAAGATAGGTATAAAGAGAAATTTATTTTTACCATATTAATCATTTTTTTGTACCTAGGTCCTAGGATTGATAATATAATGTATTAAATATACCTGGTTCCTCCGAGTTAATTGTATCATAAATTAGTGAGTTAGAAAAATATTCGTTTATTCTTTTCATTTTTATTGTTTTATAAAATATTTAAACAGTAAGTACAATTTACTAAACGTCCAAAGCGTCAGGAATTTGATTAAAACTGAGAAATAGATTCTATACTATAGTATTAGCGATACTGTGATAGCTATTAAGGCATATTATATCGGATTACACGATTGTCAACCCTCATGTTTGTGTTTGAACAAATTTACCAATAATTTCATTAATTTGTAACAAGTTATCAATAATATCTACAATATATTATAACAACAAACTGGGTTGCTTATAAGTTATAATATAATGGAGTATAATTTGGAATATAATATTTTTTTAAATTGTCATCATTTTTATTATACATTTTTACGTTATTACGTAAACTGAAAAAATACTAAAGGGGGGGGGGGGGGGGGGTTTGAACACCCAAACCCCCCCCCCCCCCGTGTGTACGCCACTGTAATATAATATGCAATGTAACCCCTCCGTAGTCATTGTACAGTGTACGCCTTCATAATTGTTTACATATTTTAATATTTTTAAAGCTAATTTAAATCTCCCTAGTGGCGTATTTAGAAATGTGTCATGGGGAGGGTCCAGTTAATTTCAGAAAATAGAGCCGCGGGGGGCAAAGTCTCCCACACCACCAAATTACTCTTTTTTAAAATAAATATACCATAATATATGACGATATGAAATGTTTGATTCTTCTTTGTAGTAATAGTTTTTACTTTTTAGTCGTCGTCGTAGTCTCGAGGTCTTCGTTATTATTGGTGTACCTACACCTCGCATAATATTGTAAACGTTAGAGATATTTATTATCTATAGGTGGTGGACATACTCCACCGTGTAATTGACGGCGGACTTTTTATGCCTCGGACTTTTTTTCCTAGGACTTTTTTACTTCGGACTTTTTTACCGCGATTCAGTACAGACACAACGATGAGTGACAGAAAGCAAAAATATAGTATTTTTCGAAAAGCAAAAACAGCAAATGTAATATATAGCATTTTTTTAGAAAATAAAAAGATACACATAGATTTTGCGTGTTGATTCTGTTAATTTACCTATCAGGTATATTAAGTGGAAGTAAATTATAAGCTCTTATTTAATTATAAAAGCGCATTATTAAATATTATTGAATAGGTAATAACCTTTCTTATTAAACACAAAAATCGTAAAATTAGTAGTTTAAATTATTCACTTTTACTGTGTTATTTAGGTAGGTACCTATAAGTAATTATAAGTACTATTATAAATGTGTAAACATAAACTGTTCAAAAATAAAAATAAATTTGATATCGATGTGTATATAGGTACTACGAATAAAGTTTTATATAAATTAAATATCTCGCCAAATGTGTTAAAAAAATTGTAGTTATGTTAAAATAGTAATACATAATTATATTATGTTGGCAAAAATTAAATATTTGGTAAATTAGTAAGTGGGCAGTTATTCTTTGTATTTCCCCGGGCCGAAATCTCACCCCGATCCGCCACCAGCGTTCGCGTTGTTACTAATTTAACCAGGTAATGTAGGAATCATTCACCGTTTTTAGGTTTTTTGAAAAATATATTCCCTATTTTAAGTATATAGTATCACTTCATGAATGGATTTCTAAGTTTGGTACAGTCATAAAAGTTAATATTAGTTTCTATTGGAAAATCTATAAATTACTAGGAAAATAAATAATTAAACACCGCTTTGATACAATTATTATTAGTATTCAATGATCACCACTTAAATGCAAATAAGATAGCCAGCATCTACTAGTTGCATTACATAGGTAAATCATTTTTAAATAATTTTACAATATTATTTAGATGTGTAAAAGAAGCTATTGAATCATATACAAAACAAATTAAATCATAAGTTTAAATTGTTTTGAAAAGTTTCAACAAGTCAGTGAAAACATGAAATTTTACATCTCTGGCTAGGGAAAGGTATAAATGAGTACGCTGTTAGACCACTAGAAATACTACAACGAAAGATCATTAGAATTTGTGTAGGTAATATGTAGAAATGCTTTTTGAGAGGCCCTTTGAATAATTTCCCTCTTGGGCCACAGAATAGAATAATTGGGCCTTGTAGGTACGTAATCACTAATCTAGTCAGTGGCGTAAATTGGGTCCAATTTCTGGTGGTGCAGAGGCATATTATTAACCTATAATTTCCAACACAAAAATAATCCAACTTTCTAAGTAAAATCCTTCCTAACAAAAAAAAACTATATATTTATCCATACATTTTGTCAACATTTGAACTTCAAATGCTTATAAAAAAAAATTGTGGCTATGTATTTTTAATATTTTTCAACGCTATTGTAACAATATATCAGGAGCCTTCCATTAAATTTTCACGCTTTTTACCCAACAAATAAAATTTTATTGATATTTATAGAAAAAAAAACTAAAAAAATTAAAAAATGACAATGTCCGGAAACAGCTCAAAGAGAGTTAAAATATTTTCAAA